TTTAGATGACATGAAAAACTGCTGATTGTAAATAAACATTTGGCATAGTTGCAAGGCCAGCACTTGCCCTTAGAAAGAAGTATTTTTGTGAGGCACTAACATAATGATGTTAGTTAAAATAATGGAGTATATTATGATTTGAGTGTTCTGCATGGCATAGTCTATGAATAGTGACTAGCTCAGTTAACGCTGTGCTGTTGATCTAGTTCTGTCAGTTGAGGATGTGTATATGCTGGATATGATCATTGACTGTGTGTGGAGTGATTCTTTGTTTCTGACATAATTGTAAGTGGGGAGTTATGGAAAGATGACCATTGTTAAGTGCAGTGCAATTACAAATCTCTATTTTGACAGTACTGTGCTTACAGCATGAATGAAAGGCTGTTATGTGGCTAAAATAGTAGCACACTACACGGTCTGGTGTTTGGCTCAAATGTAGTCAGCATGTTTAGTGCAGTACAGAAAAAGATTTTGGTCTGCAAAATGAATATCCATCCAAGTAAGGGTGAAGGGCAGTTTCCTGGAAAACTTTTTGATGGCTTCTATTAATGCCAGTATTCTTCACGAACTTTACTGGAACAAATAAAATGACAAGTTTTTGAACTTAACGTGCATCTCTCCTTGCTGTCGGAAGTCTGTGTTCTGCTACCTCTTCTCTCATACCCAAATCTCTGTTATGTTTCATCATGCTGTTAAAACTGCTTATTTGTGTAGCTCTTAATGAATGTATTAGCAAGAACAGAGAATGCAGTACCACGTAAGAAACCCTCACTGAGGCCAGCTCCCAGGCTGAGTTTTCAGGAAGGCTGAACCACTGACAGGGAAGCTAAGGAGGCAGGTGGCAGAGACCATAATAATATTCTCTGCCCTTTTCAGTTTTTATTTTATTAATGTAACTTACTGATCTTGTAGAGGAACTTTCTGTGAAGATAAAAACCGGTATCTAAAAACCTGTTTTCCCAAGTTGCTTTGTCATGGGTCTGGAAGTCTGCCCTGTGACCAAGAGGACAGGACACCTTCCAGGATTAACATCCGTGCCTAAGCTTTCAATTCATAGAGAAAGGTAATTTCTCTATGGTCACTGCTTTGCCAGCACAGCAGGGATGGCCAAGACAGAGTTGCCCAGAAAGCTGTGGAGCAGCTCTGGACCAGCTCATGAGGACAGTGACCGTGAGGCAGTCCTTGGAGAAAGAAGAATAAAAGAGACAGTCTTTGCACCGTGTCGTCTCTCTCTGCTCAGCAGAATGGGCAAGGGAGAAGAGAGTTGGTTAGAAGTAGCCTGGCCTCCATGGGTAGAGATGAAATGGTAGGAGTTTGTCTTTCACCAGCAAGAAGTGGTGCCAGCTTCCCTGGGTCTGTGCTACAAGCAAGCATTGCAAATGTCCACCCGTCCCTCCCAGTCTTAGGGTCCGGGAGCAGTGCTCTACACTTGCCTGAAAGGGTCTGTTCGGCTTGTTTTGATTAGTAGATACAGAATAATATATTTAGGCCCCATGATACCAAATTTTGTTTTGCTGTGTATGCAGCACTGGGTGGCTGTTGCTCATCTGTGGTCATCCTGCAGTAAGCTCACATATTGAAGTGTTCAGTCTCACCCAAAACGAGAGGAAGCATAGAGATCTTCCATTCCTATGTGTTTGGTTCAAAGACTTCTTGTGGTGTTGGGCAGGTGGAAAAAAATGTGAATGAATCTATTTCTTTCAGTGCTGCTCATATTAATAGGCTTTGCTCTTCATGCTTGTCGTATTATAATTCTGATTTAACAACATTTATCAGTAGAAGATCACTGCAGGGTCTTTAATGATTATAGTTGTTCAAGCTGATAGTTTGAGACTATTAAATAAGCTCCAATTACTTCCCATTTATTTGTTTTGTTTTTTCCCTCCAAGTAACAAAATGTAATCCTGAAGTTCATTATTATTCTTTGCATTGTATTCATCTAAATAGATTTTCTACCTAATTAAGGCTGAATACGTTTGTGCTAAACTGACCGTATTTTACAAGGGTGTTTTCATTTGTATGCGAGGGCGTCTTTGGTTTCTACCATCCATATTTTAATTATGTTAAATTTCTATAGCTGCCAGAGATCCTATTGTCTGTCTCAGCAATTCACCCTGTGCTGCTTGAGATTGTTTAGATTGGAGTTGGAATAGGCCTCTGGATTAATTCAGTTGGAATCTAGTTAATAACAAGGCACCAGGAAGCAATTTCAAGTGTTTACTACTGCTTTGAAAGATATAAAGTGTATATTGGCTGGATTTTGGATGAAAGAAATAGAGATGAAAGCAGAGGAATTCAGTTCAGATTAGCCGTGTTATTTTTTTATGGGTGAGTCACTGAGAGGAGGAGGTAGGAAAAAAAATTGATGAACAGGTTGGCTGGTAATGGGTATTCAGTGTGGTTATCGTGTCCATACTCTGAACATTCAAATGGTTGAGCTTTGCTCCTGTACTTATTTTCTGTTATTTATTTATATCTGATATCTCTGGGACACCTTTGTCAAATGATGAAGAAGCAGCACAGTTTGGTGATAATTAAAACCAAATAACATCACCTTTTCATTTCAGTATTAGCAGGAAAAACAACGTAGATGTACCACTCTTGACCTTACCTGCTGCACTCCTGTCCCATGCCCCAGAAGATATTGTTTTACAAGCCCAAGGCCCAGCCCCATGCGGACATGGGCGCTGTGCCATGCCCTGGGTGAAGCCTTCTCCGGGAGGAGTGACAATGGCACAAGTATCCCACACAAAACAGCATGTCTTTTCAGATGCTGTTTGAGGGTCCCGTTCGAGGACCACAAGGTAATAGATGTTAGTATATAAAGTCACTACTAAATTACCTTTCCCTTGAGAAAGCCCTGACTTCTTTGTAAGCTCCTTCATGTCTGAACTCTTTGTTGGAAGGATTATAAGATCCACCTTCTCTCGGGAAGAAATTGTAGGAAAAAAAAACCTCCAGGGTTTTCCTGAGCTTCCTCTGAAGCCACATTTTGCACTGTCAGGCCAGTCCTCCTTCATCTCTTTCCTGGTTTTGAGGTGAATTCTGTTTAAAGATGTGGTTAAGCTGAAATGAATCCAGGAGGCTTAATAACACTGGTAAATGTTCCAGGACAGTTGCCCAAAGGGAACAGACTTTTGAGAGTTTGTTCGCCTGGGAACGGAGCAATGTGTCTTGTCATGCAAGGGTGGGTTCCCTCGCCTGCATGGAGGCAGAGCTAACTGCACTGCAGAGCAGAGAAGGAAACATTAAACTATGTGTGTGTGTACATATGTGCACGCAGGCAAAAGCCTGCCCGAGCTCAGGTAGTGCTGATGTTACTGTCGGTGAGTTTGACTGGGAGGGCCCTTTGCCAGGAGAAGGGCTGTGTGCGTTAGTCTGGAGTCTGTAAATGAGATCAAGCGTCGTTTGAAAGGGAACAGTATGTGTAAAGTGGAGGAAGTTGCTGGTTATAAATCAAGTTGTGTTACAGATTGAATAAGTTTGACTAATCTGTGGTGTCTTCTATTCTTCCTGTGAAGTGCAAATTTTCCTGAGGAGTTTAAATTAGCAGAAAACAAAATTGTCAGTTTTTGAAATACTATGGATATGTGCTTTCACTGCTCCCTCTAGCAGTTTTCTGAACTTCTTAATAACCAGTTGAACATTTGAAATGACTATTAATACAATATTAATAATATGATCCAGTGGAAGGTGTCCCTGCCCATGGCAGAGGGATTGGAACTTGATGATTTTTAAGGTCCCTTCCAACCCAAGCCATTCTATGATTCTATAATATGACTGTTCACACAGTTACCGCACTAAGCTGGAGCAAATGTGAAAATCTGTTTGGACTCTTGAGGGGTGCAATATTGTTTTACTCTCTAATCTAAAGCACTCTGAAAGTAAGTCACATGTTAGCAAGAAACAGAAAAACCATTTTGAGGAAAGCAACCAAAGTTTTTAAGCTGTTTTCATTCTATTTCAAACCAGAACATCTTTGCTTAACAGACAAATGTTATGTATGCAAAAAGGACAAAAAAAACCCAACTTCTGTCAGTGATATTTTTACAATGTTGTTTCTAGTATTTTGGAACACACTGCTAAAGTTGCCGTAAAAAAAAAAAAAAAAAATCAATAGTAACATTTTTGGAAAGAAAGGGAAAAATAATCCTCCAAACAATCATTTACCAATGCAGATGTTCCAGTACGGGATCCCCTGTGCCTGTGCACTTTGTGGTGGTCCATCTGTTACTCTGCAGCCTTGAAATGCAAGTGTGAAAATATGGGCTAACGGTGCCTGTAAGTATTTGTTAGTGATGAATCCTGAAGGACTCATGCTTTTTCAATTGTCAGAATCCTTCTTTTAACCCAAATGATCGCTTTTTCTCATAATCTTTTTATGTAACAGAAAGGACTGTATTTGAAACAATTACATCTTTGATCTTTACCAGCTTGCGTGTTCAAAATCAATAAATTTGTTTTCATCTTTTGTATCTCCCTCTGTAATGTCAGGCATAAAGTAACAATATATTTTCTCACAAAATGTTTCTCACAAGTCTTCGGCCACTGACAATTGAAGTACAATGTTATTATTACAGCAAAACGGAAAAAACATATGGAAAAATCTAACTACATTAACATCTGCTGTCAAATAGCTATCCAAACTCACCTCTGTCTTTTCTCCATCTGCTCTATTTGGCTGTGCTTTCGTCCAAACCTGCCAAAAGTACTCATTTTCTGAGGGTCTTATGGCACATCAACCACGACTTCGACTAAAGTTCACAATTCTTGTTCGTTTTGATGGCGTGGCAAGATGTCTGCGTCCCTGTGGCTGCACCACTTCAAGCAGAGCAACGTTTGTTTTGTAGTTTGAAGCATGTGGATGTGGTAGGACGAGCGACAATAGGGTGAGTGCTGTATCCGGAGTTGATTTTGTAACAGCAGGGTCCTGCCCTAACTGGGGTAACACTTTCCTTGACCCAGTGGCCTTCCAAGCCAGTGCAGTGAGTGTCTGAAGGATGTCGAAATCCATGCTGTTGACGCAGGAGATGATACCTGCCGTGATGCTCAGCCTCTGGACAGCGGTGGGCTGCAGCGCGCAGGTGAGATGCCTGGAGCTCCTGCGGAGCCGGCAGTGTGTCAGCCCCACACACTTGATCATCCTGGGGAATGCGTTTGCTTGGTCTGACAGGGGGAAGAGAGATGCTCTAACCCATTCTTCTGCCTCACTCAGCAATTCTTTGCTGTGACTTTTTTTTTCAATTATTATATATTATTCTGATGGTGACTATCCTTCTATATGCAGCTAGCAGAAGAGTGAGCATTTAGACAGTTCCAGGCAAATGCCCTGTAATTTTCCTTTACGGTGATGGTGAAGGATGATTTTTCTTGGACTCTTGCAGAACAGGCGAATGAAGCAAAGCTGCTTCCCATGACAGCCTCAGGAATCAACTGTGAGGCTGAAGTTGCTGTCCGTGCTCCTTGGTTTAGAAGCCTGCAGCTGGCTTTGGAATGGGTGGTCTGAAGAAGTTTCTTTGGCTGTGTGCCAAGGGAGACGGATGCCCAGCTGTTTCAAAAAAGGGATGAAATCAGATTTTTGAGCCCACTGGAGCATGAGGAATATTTATAATGTCTGCTCTTGTTCTGAAGACCATAGTGTAATGTTTGTAGTTCTGCTGAGGGGAAAGGTTTTGATTTCAACTACGAAACAGCCCTCAAATACACAAAGGTTAGAGGAGAAAAAAATGATTTAATCTAGGAGCAGCCCTTGCTTGTAGAGATCCCATCCTCTGACTCCTCTGGCAATTGGAAGGTATCATTATTGAATAATTAACAAGCATTACAAAATAACGTCACACAGCTGTAATTAATATTGAACAGAAACTTGTTTTAATTATCATCTTATAGTGCTGTTTAAATTCTTCTTGGTCACAGGACAGGTAAAATAGATGGTCCTGTAAAAGCTGTCCAGGTCTCTTTGAGGCTTTGACATATGGTGCAGATTTTGAAGCTGTTCACCACCTCGAGCTGTGAGCTGGTTTGGAGGCTGCAGTGGCACAGCTCACCCCCACAAAGTGGCAAGTGTCTGCACCAGCTCTGGGTGCTCGTTTTGTCTCAGACATGCGTGATCCTGCATGACTGCCCAGTGATTGCGTGTTTTCATGTGTGATCAATAATTGTTATTTATTTTATTATGTGACGGGAGGAAGAGAAAAAAAGTCTAATTTTTTATAGTACAGGGGTTTGGTTTACCCCTGCCCCTCAAGGCCAGCATGTCCAGTACTTTGTATTTAGAGGCAGGTCTGTGTGTGTTGTTGTTGCTCAGTGTGTGCATGTACGTATTGCTGGTTTGTTTTGCTGTGTCTCTAAGGTACCAAGCTTTGTCAGGGGAAGAACATGAGAATATGTTCTCGGTACAAAAAGACAGCAAATTCCTCCGTGCTGGGGAGAAAATCAGTTGTGTCAGATAAACTGAAACTGAACATTTGCCATTCAGGGCTTGATTGCACATGGGCCATCCATCTGCGTAGTATTTATAGGACTTCCTTGATACTGAAATCATACAATGAATAACTTTTCCTGAGAAAGGAGCATTTTCTTATTGTAGGGAGAAAATGCTCTACAGAATGCAATGAACACCTTTCAAAGATAAATGCAAACTCTTTGTGCTCCTTTGTGGACTGATTAGGGGTTTCTTTAACTTTCTTTACAAGGCATCTACAAAAGGAGCCATCTAGCAGTACTGTATTTCCACAGGTGTGTGCCAGGTGATGCTGGAGCGATGCCTGCCTGCACGGTGTGTGCTCTTCCCCTTGGCTTTAGTGTCTCAAGTTGAATCCCTCAGCCACACAAAGTCTGTGTGCCCATGCTGTCTGCAGAGCTGGTGCACATCAGGCCTCTGATGTTTGTGTCTCTGTTGATCTATACCTAATAACATTAGGTTGTTTCTCTGAAAGCAAATTTGAAATTTGTCTGGTGTTGGCTTTTTGCATATTGCAAAAATTAACAGTCATACCGCCTAATCCAGGCTGTCGGGGGAGGCATCCCTTCCAGGGTCAGGCTGACACTATGTGAGTTAGTTCCTAATGGCTTTGTAGCATATTCTGATCTTACAGTGGGATACCCCACAGAAAACTTGCTGGTTTATTGGAGGTTTCCCTTGGTCAATATTGCAGCCATAATCTTTCAGCTCCTGCCCTTAGGACTTGGGATAGAAAACTACACCTGAAAGATTATGTGAGAATTTGTGACCTAGATTTTCTAAACTGAGCAAACCCAAATGCACGTTTATGCTTGAACTTACTTAACTTAGAGGCAAATACTCGTGACAGATGCAAGTGAAAAATTTGTGGAGTGAGGCAGTCTGCAGGTATGTAACTACCTGGGGTCTGGCTGAGCGGGTGTGCGTTAGCACTTCAAGGGCGTTAACAGGCTGTCATTAAAATCCATACATCATTACAGACATTGTAAAGTTCTTGATTTGGTTCTACAAGTTCTCGGTATTTGTGCTAGATGCAGTGAGCGGCAGCTGCTGTTGGGTCTGTACGAGGTGACGACATCAATTTGTTCCATGGTCTTCTCAGTAGATCGCAAAGGCCCTGCCTCCATCTCCGCACGAACCCGGGATTTCTCTCCTGAGACAGATGGGACTTAGAATTGAGTGAAGCTCACAGATCATACGTTTTGTGTGACAGATTTTAATAAAACATACTAAAGGTGGAGTTGGACAATTAAAACCCATGCGTTCAACAAGGAGCAGAATTTGGAGCAGACTTCATACTCTCTCATTACATGCAATGTTATTTTTGCATTAATGTTATATTATTATTTTTAGCATCAATGGCAATCAGTATGTAATTAGCAATGATCTCATGCACACTCTTGAGTACAGACTGTTCTTTCCAGTTTGGGAGTATTTGCTTGTTATTGCTGAATTTCAGCATGTGCACACACAGAGGAGGCCCCGCAGTCATTAAACCTCCCTTGCCAGGGCTCTTACCGTTGAGTACGCGGCAGTTAACCTCTCCATGTATCTTCTGAGAACCAGATAAAGTTAGGACCGAAAATTTGTTTCTGGAAGTCCTTCCTTTAGGCTTGTGTTCTGTGATAGATATCTGCAGTGTCACAGTTGAGCTTTGAAATACAGCGCGATGAGGCAATGAAAAGCCTCCGAAGGTTTCTTTATAAGGGCTGTAAACAGAGTTGGCTTTTAAAATACAGGAAAAAATACTTTGTCCTGATCCTGTGGTTCTCTGTGAGAGTGGAATGGCTTTCATTGGCATCGGGAGCAGGAGTGGGTCATTACTGAGCTACAGACACGACGCCCCGCGGGAAGGGTGCACCGTTGTCGCTGTTAGTCCCCGAAGGGAGGCCGAGTCACTCCGGGGCTGCCGGAGGAGCATGCGTCGGATCACACAGAAAGGGAGCATTTTGCCAGGAGTGTAGTGGAAGCACAGATGAAATACACGCTCTTGGGTGGCATGTGTTGTTTGAGACCTGTAATGCTGGGTAATTTTTACAGAGTAGCCTCCCAAATGAGCTGGCTTTGGATAGAGCCTCTTCTGATCTATGTCTGTTCTAAAGAGAATTACTGCATTGAAAAGACCAAAATGGTGCTTTCCGTAATAACTTTTTTGTGTGTTCTGTGGATGAGATTAAGTCTATACAACAACTAAAAATGGCTGTCAGGTGTTGGTTTGAAAATACTGCTTTCATCTTTGACTGTGGATGCATATAGGCTGTATTTATAGCTCTGCTTCTAATTTGGTCCTGGTATAACCTTCCATTTTTTTGAGTGTATTTAATGTGATTTGCAAGCACAGAGAGGTAAGAGGGTGCTACTAAGAAATAGCTATCCAAAAGTTGGAAAAGGTGATGTTTGAAGCAGGGAACCTGCTGATGTACGTCACATGGTACTGTCAGAACCAGGAACACCTGGTTTCTAGTTCTCTTTCTGTGGGATGACTTTGTCCTGCCTCGCATGTCTTAGACATCCATGGCAAATAACATCTGCAATTAATCCAGCACTGTAAAAATTAAATATTGCAGAGCAAGTAAAACCCATTCTCCTGTAACCAGATGTGCTGCTTTTGTTTGTACCCCTGACCTTCACAAATGAACACAATTTACTGTCAGCAGCTGCTGCTGTTTTAAGCTCGGAGTGCTGAGCTTCATTTCCCCTGCACTGCAAATGTGTACGTTCTGCTGTCACGTATCGTTCCTGTCCTGAAATTAGAATGCCAGAAAAATCCCACTCAGCTTTGGTGAAAGTTATTGTGAGAGAGAAATCCAGGTTGAAGGTGGATGGATATTTCTGGTTTTGTGGCATTTAATGTTTGCATCAACAGGCGTGGGATCACGTGAGGCTGGAATTTGCTTGTCCAACTGTGGTGTTTGTTACACATCCTTATTTCTCAGTGTATATCTATAGCTCTTGGCTGGTACAGTTGTACAGACTGTGCTTTATTTTTAGTCCTTGTTGCCCCCAAAGAGACGTCTCTGCAGACACGGTGTTCTCCTGTGCCAGGGGGCGTTTGTGGTGTTCACTGTCCCTGTCCTTTTGGGCAGGGAAGAGTTACAGCCCAGCTTAGTTTTGCCTCTGCCTTTGAAGCGTTTAAAGTTCATTTGTCTTTTCAAATTCCAGCCTGTAGACTTGGAAAAGCATTTCCCAGAGGGGGGCAAAGCACTTGAAGGAAGAAAACAGTTTAAGAGGTGAACCTTACACCAGTAAATCCACTGTTTACTTTGCTTTTTTCTCCTGAGGTTTCCTCAGAGTGTGCTGGGGCTCTGGGCGAGCCTGGCGCATCGTCCGGGGCGAACGTTCGTGCCGGAGCTGCGGCCGCTGCTGGGCCGGGCGCTCCTGGGCACTGGGCGGTGGTACTGGGAGCGCAGGTCCGGACTGAAACATCACATAAGTATCACTTCAGGTGCTAAGTTTGACACAGGAATGGGCCCAAACCTCATCCTTTGAGGCTTTTCGAAGCTACCGGGAGGTTTGGATGGGTCCAGAGGGACACGGGAGCAAGGGCATGGGTCGCTCAGATTTGGGACGGCGTCTTGGCTGTGGGTAGTAAGAATTACCACGGGAAGCCTAGAGCAGTGAACATCTCCTCTCCCTTCCTTTCCCCTTTATCAACATGCCATTTGCTATACAGATTAGGATTTAATTATTTTTTTTTCAGCTAAAGAGAAAAATTGTTTAGCAAGAGGCTGTGAGAGGTAATGTTGCCAGGATACACAGAAATATCCCATCGTGGCATCGCCTTTAGAGACTCTGGAAAGAGTTTAATGGCAGACAGATTTTTATTTTTTTCCCCCATCGTGTCAGCTAGGTATTTTGGCCCTAAATTGCAGCATGGTGAAATGCTGCAGTTACGGATAAAAAGCGCTTTAAGCTGTATTAACAATGAAAACTGACAACACAGGGATGCTTTGCGTTACTGTGGAGTGGTGTCCCTCTGGCTCTCTGCACACTGCTGCTGTTGAAACACGACAAATAAAGTTCGTGTTTGCTCTTTCACAGTTTACTTCGTATTTCACTACTTAACTTGTTGAAGTTTAAGGACTACTTATAAAGAATAGCTCAGACTGTATTCTGGATAGAAAATGTATATTAACGGAATTAATAGCATCTTGGATGCCTCTTGTATTTAAGTTTCATATAATGGGGACAAAACGTTTGTTTGAAAAGTGTTTGAGTTTTGGTTTGTGTGTTTGATTTTGGTTGTGGTGGGCTGTTTTTTTTTTTCAACATCTCTGCATTCCTCTGTGTCTGAGAGCTAAAGCTACTTGGAAACTGGAGATATTCATGGAGAGAGAATCACATCAGTCACTGACAGAACCACATCTTCTAATGAGTACACTATTCAAACATTTCTCATTGCTGAGCTGCAGAGGTCAAAGTGATACTGACTCCCTGCATGGCCTTGGATAAGTCATTATCTCCCTCTCCTTCCTCTACAAAACCTGACTGTTAAATAGTTCCTCACAGGAGACCTGTGAGATACAATTAGCTAATGCTGGTAAAATGTTTTGAATACAAAATGTGGCTCATAGGTGCTGAGTGGCTCCCATCAGTCCTCGTTAGCAGATGCTGTCGTTTAGCAGTCTGATTTTTGGTTGTTAGGTCTTTCACTAGTGGAAAGAAAGTAGGACAGACTCAAAAAGTCTATCAATATTTATACTCCAGTCTTCAGATGTTTTAATAACAGTTCCCCATTGATTTAATCTGCTGTTGATCACTGTAATAAATGGAGATATTTTCTGTTCAACAGGTCTAAAAATTGTGTCCCCCACTAGCCTGAGGACTAGTTTCTGTGGTCTGATAGCCACCTGGCTATCAGACAGGTTCCCATTTGATAGTAATATACATACATAAGTGCCTCTTGGTTTTATTCTAGTATGTCATGTCTTTTCTAGAGCAGATTGCCATGTTCTCGGCTGTCTCTAGGATCCCTGGCATAGTCCTTTTTCTTTGGTGGTGTAAACTTGCTCTACTGTTGATGGGCTAGGACGAGTCGTCACAGTAATAGATGGAGGTGGGGGTGAAATCACAAAGGAAAGCATTATTCTGCATCAGGCAAATATTTTACATGTTCTATTCCTTTTCCTTTATAGGATATATTTTAAATGTTGCGATGTCTGTGTATTTGTCAAAGTGCGCACAGTGTGGAGAAGAGGAACATGGTGGTTAAGAGTTGGTGTCTGAGCCTGGCCCTGACCCTCCTGGGGAGCCTGAGCATCTGCAGCTGCTCACCCTCTCACACAGGGCTTGTTGCTGCCACAGCTTCCCACCTGCAGCAAGGCTGCAGTGCACCCTGTGGGAAATACTTCTCTGAAGTTTTATTATGTAGAAACTAAAAAAACCAACCAACCAAAACAAACAAAAAAACCACCACATGCACACACACAAGAAACCACACCAAAAAAACCCCCACAACCAAACAAAATTAGTAAGGATTTTCTTTGTAGCAAAGTTACTTTGCTGAAAGAAAGCTCAGGCTATAAAATTGCGTAGTGTTTTCTGCAGAGGAATGGGGCAGTTCCTGGGATACCAAACTGTGGTCATCAACACAAGGAGTGATGAAGGATAGCATCGAACGACCCGCTCTCACTCCACTGAAACCTGTGTCAGTTTTGCCATTGTTTTTTAACGGTGTGAGGGTGGAGTCTCTGGTTGATAATTGTTCACAAACCTACGTAAAACCTCCGTGCCCGTCTGAGATGGAGGTTGGACAGGTTCGGTGATGAAGAGGGTGCAGAGGGTGCTTGTCTGCTCTGACTTGAGCAGCTCGGAGGCACCTCTGAGCTCCGTCTTTCTGTTATGAACCCAAACATGGAGATTTTCTGCAGTATGTTGGATTGTAATTGATTTATGTTTTCATGTAAGAAATGCTTGTAATGCATGGGATGTGAGTATTTGCAGTAAGATGAGTGTAATTTTTCTCCCCATTTATAGGATGGCTATTTTTCCCACCGACCGAAAGAGAAAATGCGAACAGACAGCAATAATGAAAATTCAGTCCCCAAGGACTTTGAAAATATTGATAACAGTAACTTTGCTCCCAGGACTCAGAGGCAAAAACACCAGTCTGAGCTGGTGAAAAAACCCCTTAGCAAGCAAAAGGAGCACTTGAGAAAGAAACTGGAAGAGGAGAAGATGAAGGAGAACTTGCTGCTGGGAAAGAACTCCAATGAGGTGGTGCAATTCAGTGATCACCCCGGAAAAAACAGCAGCAGCATCAACAACAACAATTTGAAGGAGATTCACAGGTCTCCCAGACAGCATCATTTTAAAAAAAGTGGAAACAGCTCCCCTGAACTGAGATACGACCAACCACCAAAGTGTGAGGTAACGGGCAAAGAGGCAATCTCAGCCATGTCCCGGTCTAAATCTAAGCAGTGTCGGCAGGAGATCGCAGAGGTGTATTGTCAGCACAAGCACGGGAAGCTGATGCCGGAGAAGGTGACGCGTTTCTGTACGCTGGAGGGTAAGTTGGTAGATGGTGAAGGAAAAATAACACGGTATCTTGCGGGAAGGATTCTATGTAATTGAAATGGCCTTCTGATGACAAAAAATGGCTTTATTGCAGGGATGTATAATGTACTTAGTCTGTGAAAACGAGGGAGGTTTCGAGGATGTTTTAAGCAGGGAGTTACATGGATGTCACAAGATCCTTGGTAGATTCCTACAGAATTTCTTTTCACTTCCACCAGATTTTTATTACAGTATGTGATCTAAGTGTTTTGCTGCTACTCCTGTTTCTTTTAGTTCCTAATCTACAGACATAGAGAAACGTAGTCAAAGTCTTGTTATTCTGTGCAGGAGTTGCATGCTTTTTGGGGATCAGGGAACAGCCATGGCGAATTTTGATGCCTTATGGCATCAGTGGCATTGCTGTTATGGCCTTATGGCCATTTTTCTGGCATAGTGGAGTCCAAGCTAATAACCAGGACCTGCTAAGCATTTTAATAACTCAGATAATTATCAGAAGTATAATTAAAAAATATTCCAAAACCATGGGAAAAGAAATCCAATCCAAAAAAATCTCACTTCTATTTTTACTGTTCTTCAATCATCAAAAGTAATTTCCGAAATCACTGTTGTAGAGAGTCAGCTACCTCTCCTAGCCTAAGCCAAGCTTTGATTTGTTGCTTTTGGTTTCTCCATGCAGTCAGGAGCGTGAGGTGTCTCTCAGCCTGCTGTCGGTTTGCATGTATGAGCTGACCTTTTCCTACTTTTCAAGAAGAGTGCTTCATGTGCCACCATTCATTTAGCTGTGAGCTTCCCATACAGTAAAGTGCTTTTATTTTTACTTTTGTTTATAAAAAAGCATTGATCAGTTGATCAAAGTAGATATTGATCAACAAACAGCATTATCTGCAGCAGCACTTGTTTATACAGCAGTCCAGAGACCCATCCTGTAATTGGCACTTCAGCCTATGCATGTAGGGATATGCCGATGTCTTCGTCCGAGCTGAAAGTGCAGAGGGACTTTCAGAAACAAGAGAATAGGCCTTGCCTTGAGATGGTGGAGTAAATATGGTAAGCCATGGGAATTAGGAGATGTTTAATTCTTTCATTTAGAAATATTTAGTTACATCCTCTAACCCCCCGGCTCACCTGTTTGTTGCGTCTTCACAAAGCAGTGGTTACTATTGGGTGGTTTCAGTGTGGAGGGGAGAAGGATCTGTGTTGTTAATGCCTAAATTAGGAGGCTAAACTCCCTGTTCAGATAGCGGAAAAAAGGAGGAGGTGCCCCAGAGGGTGTTTCCAAACAAAAGCATCTCTCGGTAATAGGAAGCTTGGGGTTTTGATTTAGATGACACATATTACCAGGAGTAACAGTGTGGACACCCCATTTCCCACCCCAGTGCATCTGTGACTGTTTTGTTTTGGTTTTTATCATGTCTCTTTCGGTGTTTTTTCTCCCTTTCTTAGCATGGTGATACTCAAAATCATTGAGCTGGGTGGGCAAACATTGGAGAGAAAGGATTAATGGAGCAGGCAGACGACTTGGTGTTCAGTGGGAAGCAGAGAGAGGGACAGCAAAGGCAGCACAAGTTGAAGGGAAGATAAAAGAACAATAGAGAGGTAAGAATTGGGCAAAAACAGGCGTCAGTGACAGACTGAGCATCAGTGAGGACCGCCCGGATGCCCCCGAGGTTCCATTGGGGTACCACTGCTGGAATCCACTGTGATAAGCATGTCTTTGGTATCCTTCCCTCTTCTTCTCTAATGACGGAGGGTCATCTCTGATCTGTGAGAAAGCTGATGGAGGTCAGCACCTTGCAGACATTTGTCCTACACTTTTTTGGGATCAAGGACATATCTTAGTAATGTCATCAATACCTTATGTAGGGTGAATGCATCACATATACAAATATGCAAGAGATATCCTGGAGAGTGCTGGAAGATGTATTGTCATTAGTGTGGGCACGCACTGCAGCTGTGTGCAAAATTGCACACACCTATGATTCCATCCCCTGCCTGGTCATCTGTCTCACAAGGATGCAGGGAGACTTTCCAGAAGTTTTGAAACACTACCATTCTTAAAAACAGACTTCTTAAGAAATATTTATTGCTGCTTTTAAATAAGGAATTCATCTCATATGTCCTGCAGTCAGGATAATCCTATGGTCTTAGAACCAAGAACAGTGTCACCTTTTAGACTGGAAGCCTTCCAGCGCGTTGTACATTGCACATTGGTATAAATACTTCCTTTGTAAAGTAGACATAGACATGGTAAAAGGGTCAGGAAAACTGGGAACTACAAACATAACTAGAGAAATTGAGAAGTTGTCCAAATACAGTTTTAGTGTAAAATACATGTGAATTTAGTAGCAGCTTACGAGGTATGGATATATACCACGTGAAAAAAAACAAGTGTAAAAAGACTGTGACTACAATTTTTAGGTTTGAAGTGCTAGAATTTCATTTAGATTTTTATTTTAAGCAGTGATGCTTGTTTAAAAAGAATAATTGGGGGATGTCTTAACTTAGCCAGATGGATCCTTGCGGAAAATGTTGACTTTTCTTTGCCTCAAGGTTATTTCCTCCTGCCCGTGCTGACAGCTGAAGTTAACCACTTCAACAGCCAGATTTCCTTGGCAGAAAGTCTGGACATCCTGTATTACATACAGGGTTGCTCTAGAGCAGATCTGGGAGCTTTGCTGCGGGGAAGTGATAAAGCAGCAGCATGTTGAATGAGACATGAGTTGCTTATACTGGAGGTGCCAATGCACAGGCAGATTGGGACATCAGGCCTATGGAGGAGTTCCAGACTTTGAGGTCACTTCTCAAATGTCTGAATAAAGGGCTATCAAGACAGACATGTAGGAACTTCAAAACTGGAAGTGCCCAGTGCCTATATATATATGACTTGATAGGTCCCTTAAATTTTACAGCCCTGGTAAAGATATATTGCCTAAGTATCTTAGAATCATAGAATGGTTAGGATTGGAAAGGGTCTTAAAGATCAGCTGGTTCCACCCCCCCTGCCATGGGCAAGGACACCTTCCACTACATCAGGTTGCCCAAAGCCTCATCCAACCTGACCTTGAACACTTCCAGGGATGGGGCATCTACAGCTTCTCTGGGCAACCTGTTCCAGTGCTTCACCACCCTCATTGTGAAAAATTTCTTCCTTATATCTAATCTAAATATCCTCTCTTTCAGTTTAAAGCCATTGCCCCTTGTCCTACTCCTACACGCTCTTGTCAAAAGCCCCTCTCCAGCTTTCTTGTAGCCCCTTTAGGTACTGGAAGGCTGCTATAAGATCACCCCGGAGCCTTCTCTTCTCCAGGCTGAACAACTCCAACTCTCTCAGCCTGTCTTCATAGGAGAGGTGCTCCAGCCCTCATATCATCTTTGTAGCCCTCCTCTGGACCCACTCCAACAGCTCCATGTCCTTCTTATGTTGGGGACTCTGGTGCTGAATGCAGCATTCCTGGTGGGGTTTCATGAGAGCAAAGTAGAGGGGCAGAATCACCTCCCTCGACCCGCTGACCACACTTCTTTTGATGCAGCCCAGGATACGGTTGGCTTTCTGGGCTGCAAGCGCACATTGACGGCTCATGTTGAGCTTCTCATCGACCAACACCTCCAAGTCCTTCTCCTCAGGGCTGCTCTCAATACATTCTCCACCCAGCCTGTATTTGTGTTTGAGTTTGCCCCGACCCATGTCTTATGGTCTCAGATCTCTCATCCCCACTGCAGAACATAAACACTGCTGTTGTTCACTTGCAGACTGGCTCCATCCGTCATCAAAGGTGTCTTCATCAACTCCAGAGGTCCTTTAAAGGAGTTGAACTTGGATAGGAGATGTTTGTGAAGCACTGACCGTCAGGCTTTGGGGATATAAGACACCTCATTGTTAGGGTCGCTGGTAGGAGGAGATCAGAGTAGAGGTCTTGCTGCTTTATGAATCAAAAAAGCTATATGCTGTTTGTCAGCAAAAGTCAGACATCCGAGACTGAGTCTATGTTTTCAGCGTGTGAGTGCTATTCCCTTTAGTTTGGTTTGAAAAAAAGATTTCCTGTCTGTTTTCAGCAGAGCTGTGAAGTATAAATATTTATGCATTGGAGCAGCACATTCATCCATTATCCCAACATATAAACGTGTTCCCAGTACTGTGGTTTCCATTGAGATGTCATCCAGCATTTAATCCCCTTGGATCCTGTCTCAGCTGATCAAAACCACGAAGTTGCTAAGTGTAGCTATCAATCATGGACATGACTCCATCCATCTGGATTGTCATAAATGTTAAGTGATATGTTCACTTGAGTGGTTATTAACAGGGACAGGATCTTACAAGCTGTTTCTTTTTTTCTTTTAAGTATTTTATTGTTTCCAAAGGCAGCAGGCAAAAGAAGTTGAATATAACTATCTTCAGTGTATAAAAGAAAGAATTGTTAAAACCAAGAGCATCATGTTTACTACCTGTTTGACATGCAGGTGTTATTTCCATAAGAACCGTAGGACACAGGCTGCAGTCTCTCTAAGGGCACTGCAGAGAGACATCACTGCTGAAGCAGCAAAACATGGCAACTTTACCAGTTAACTGACTTGCAGAGTACGTGAGCTGGCATTTCTCAACGAGCTGATCCTGAAAACAAGGCACAAATGCTACGGAACAGGGGATTGGTGTCAAAGGCTTTAGGTGCAGCCTTATCCAAAGTCATGGCTGAGATCAGGGCAACAGGCAGCTTGCAAGTCACCCTTTGCTCAGAAGGGAATGTTTGGAGCTTGTAGAAGTGTGTTTTGAGGGGAAATGCAGTCAGTGAAGGTAAGAGGGGAAAAGCAGGTTCAGCACGAGGTTAGTTGGATGAGGAAAGGGCAAATGCAGTCCTTTGCAAGTTGGGGAGAGGATACAGGGAGACATCCTTTTGGGGAGTTCATTTGCTCTCAGGAAACGTCATGCAGAGATCAGCAACCTGTGGGCAGTGTGGCAGATTGCTTCCGTGCTGGGACCATCTCCAGCCTGGTCCT